CCCCCCCCCCCCAAGAGCTGCAAGAGTGGCGGTGTGTTCTTTGCTGTCCAGGCACCAAGCATTACCTGTAAAGGCAGTTTTCCAAAAGGGCCCAGGAGGGTTGGGCTCCTTGGGGCAACACACTTGGTTGTTCCAGCCCCCGGCCAAGGCCCAGGAGTCGTGGTAAGGATCGACGGGCAGGAGAGTTTCGTGCCTGGGGTCGCCCGGAGGTCCTCCGAGAGTCTGAACCACAGAAACGTCCAGGTAGCTGGTCATGGACTGATAAGGTCCAGCGTAGCCCGGGTAGAAAGCGAACTCAGCCGGGCGGGTCGTATAATCCTCTGGGGCGGCGGGCGCGCTGGCGGCAGCCCCGCAAACCTCCAAGTACTTCTCGGCTGTGTAGGCGGCCTGGGGCGGGGCCGGGCACGGCTTAAGGGCACTGCGGGCCACTCGGTACGAATAGCAGCCGCCGCCTAAACAGCCGTAAGGGAAGGGCGAAGTACTGCTGGCTGAGGGCGTCTGTGAGACAGCCGGACAAGGGATGCACTGTTTGGAGTGCAAAGAAGACTCCCCGGAGCCGAGGGGAGGCAGGGGCGCATCCAGGGACACGTAACCGGAGGGGCCGTGCGCTGGGGGGCTGGATGCCCTGCAGAGACCGCCGGCCGGGAAGGGGGGCAAGCTCAGCAGACCATCCAGGTTTTTGCCGGGCGCCTCGTCCAGGCTCCTCCGGGCTCCTCCGAAGGCTGCCTCGGGCTCCATCCAGAGTAAAGGGTGGCCGAAGGGCACATGGGCGGCTGCTGCTCGCCTCGCTCTGGCCGGGGAATGGAAGCGAGCGGGGCGCGAGGACTGGGAGGCGGGTAAGGCCGGAAGGACCGCTTTAAAAGGCTGGCTGCAACCGAAGGAGGGTCGCCCGGGCGCCCGACCGCAGCGCTGCTGCCCTCTCCCGCTCCCACCCGAAGCGAAGGACGTGGCTTCTCAGAGCGGGACGCTCATTGGCTGAGGCGCTTTGGCAGAAGACGTGCGGGGGGGAGGGGGCAACAATTGCGAAAATGCTGTAGTGGCAAGGGGGGAGTAGAGCGGGAGGGGCAGCGCCCTCACGTGACCGGCCTCGGGCAAGGGGTGGCCTGTGGTGGTGGCGGCGCCTTTCCTTGTGGGGATGGGGAGCGTACCCAAGTTCCCTCTTTTCCAGAGAATGGCTACCATTCAAGGGTCAGAGGGAGAAACGATGCCCGTCCAGCAGAGAAAGACTTGGGCACCCTATTTGGTACACTTTCTCTCTCTTCGGATCTGTAAGAATGGTCTTCAGTCTTTCCATTACAGCGTTCTGCTTTTCGTCTTAATTGTTAATTCTTTGGCCAAATAGCTGAACAGTTCCCTGGTACTTTTGGATACTTGCTCCCCTGGGAATGTGTCCCTCCAGGCGATAACTTTTCAAGAGACAGAAAGATAGACAGAAAGACAGGCCGATCGATCAATAGTTGATAGATAGGTCGTTTTCCTTTTTTGCTTTTAATCGGGGAGGATCCAGGGGCGCCCCGAGGAGTCAGACTTTCGCTTTTGCCGCCAAGGAAGGAGATAGGCGCCCGAGTCCCACCTCAAGAGATGCCTTTCAGACACCAACCGTTTGACACATTTACAACTTGTTTGTAAACTACAGAGTGCTGGGTGTAAAATCCAAATAACATAACTGGGGACCTTCTCCAGTTGGCAGAGGGGGAGAACGGATACCCGATTGCGCTGAAATTGAAAGGGGGCAGTTCTTGGGCAACCGCCTGGAGGGGAGATGCTGATGTAGGGCTGGCAACCGTATTTATTTAGCAGCTGAGACTTTTAGGACTCCAAATAATGCCTTCATGTCGAAAGTCAGATTTGCCAACTTTATTGAAATGTCTCAAGACTGTCTTTGCGGAGTAATTAGTTGAAACAAAGAGGTTCCTTTGGGTAGTAGAAAGGAAGGGGGGAGAGCAAAGTGAGGCCAAACAGGGCCCTCTTCAGTTCACATCAGTTTGCTCCCCACACCTTGCAAATTCTGTTGGATTTCTAAAACTGTCTCTCCTTTTCTTATATTTCCTGGCCCACTACAGTATCTGTGTGCATGGAGGACAGTTGGTCTTCTTGATAGCTATTAATCTCTCAAGCAACTAAAAACCACAGGGAGCCAGAGGAGATCAGAGATCCCCTTACATATCTGCACTGCTGTTCCCTCTTTTTGGGCTGCAGCTAATCACGCAGGGAGCAAAAACAAGTAACCGATGTATTCCCCCTTCACCCTCTTTATATCTCACCCAGAAAGCAATAAAGTATAATTGACTTTTGACCAGTCATCTCTCAACCTAACCATAGGTTTGTGGCTCTGGAGCTAGCACAGGGTTGAGTTCCTTGAGTTTCTAGAAGAAAGGCTGGATAGAAATCTAATAAAAAATAATTAAAGAACCCAGATCTATCCCTCCACACAATTATAACCTCCTTCATGTCTTTACCTGCCCCCTTCCTTTTTACTACCCAAAGGTACGTCCTTGTTTCAATTAATTACCCTGCAATGTTCTAGCATGAACAAGCTTTCTAATGAATGGCACAAGAAGTCAAAGAGGTGGGCCAAATCCAGGTAGTGGTGGTGGGAACTCAAATCCAGATTAATCCTCTGTGAGAAGATGAAGGATTTCTATACAATTTTGCTGTTACATTTTATACAGAGAAGATTGTGGGCAGGAGAAACCCTCATTACACAAGCAAGCACAGGCATGTGCACACACTCACACACAGAGGGGAGAGAGGGAGGGAGGGAAGGAGTGGGAGTGAGGGAGAGGGAGAAGGAGAAGGAGAGGGAGAAGGAGAGAGAGAGTAAATTTAGCAAAATAGGTAGGTGCAAAAACTATCCTAACATACCTTCTCTTGCTTGGGCACTTTGCATGCTATTTATTTGCAAGCTCTTCTGTGAAAAGCTCCAGATGTAAATGAAGGGATTCAGCTGGCAGGCAATGATTTATTTCCTTGTTTATTACAAGATTTATGTCCTCTGCCTCCAAATCCACAAGATTTGTGATGATTCACAAATAGATCGAATATAATTCTCAACAATTCATTTAAACCCACAATGGTTAAATCAACTGAAAGGTAAACACAAGGCTAAAAAAAAATCATTGAAATTAAAACTAAAAACTATAAAGTGCTAGCAGTCCCTCAATTTCCAAATGCTTGCTTGTGAAGTACAGTCTTTTTTGCCTTTAAATTGCCAAGAAAAATTCAGCATGTTTTGATGATGAAACACCAAATAGGCTTTTAGGTTTCTAATTTTAAAATTAATTTGGCATGTAGAAGAGACAACATCCAACAGTGACTATTGCCTGCTCTCCTCTTCTGCCTTGAAAACTGGAGGGGGATGGTGAGAAAGAAGAGGAGGAAGAGAAATCAGTTTAGGCTATGAGTAGGTTGGAGTGCATTGCCTGGAAGTAAGCCTCATTAACGTCAATGGTGTGCAGTTGCTGTGAGAAAAAATTACTTGCTTGCCTTTAAATTGTTTTTATTTTCCAAAGATTCATATGGTCAACTTTTGAAATTGATGCCAGTAGGTTATCCTTCAAACAGATATGCTTAGGAGTGCTTCAGAGGATTTGATCCTGACTAGATTCCTTACCTGTAACAAGATAGTTGTCATCCTCTTTTTTAGGCAGATGGCTAGGGTTAATAAGATACTTAACCAGACTGTTAAAGTCATGGACTCTGCATTTTAATAGCATCTTATGTATGGTTAGTTCTTCCTTTCCCTTCCTTTCCTTTCCTTTCCTTTCCTTTCCTTTTCCTCCCTTCCCCTCCCCTCCCCTCCCCTCTCCTCTCCTCTCCTGCAGTGTCTTCTGTGAACCCAGAAAAGGATTAATTTTATAACCAGGAGTGTGTTATGTGAAGTCAGCCTCAGAGGCAAAGAATATGCATCTTTTATTTATTTTTCTTTTTGGTTAGCTGAATGACATTATTTGTGTTTCTTATTTGGATATATACATACTATAAGTCACTAGGAAAGTTTTTCAGATTTCAAACAGATAACAAATTTTATTAAGAGAGAATGATTATGTATTTATCATTCATAGACAGTGTAAAGCACAGGGTAGTACAAGTACAATGAAGAAAGAAATGCAAAGATGTAGTAACTATTTAATTTAGTGTTGTAAGGAAACGGTGCCAAAAGATTACATTCCCTAGACATGTGTTCTTTTGCAAAATGTACAGAAGACAGTGTGCTTGTTTTCCTTAGCTTGATGTCCTCTATTAATCAGTCAGTATTGGCTGGATTTGTTCTTTAATGTTTCTGGAAGATGTCAGCTGAGAAAATCTGTCCATGACCCACTGGACTAATTCCCTAGCCATGCCTTCCAGATGTGTTGGACTGCAACCATTCTGCATGGCTAGACAGCCTTGCTCTTCTTTCTGGAAACTGCTGCAATGGGCACAAAGCTGGACCAAGGTCTCCAGGTCCTACATGGAAGTTCCAGGTTTCTTCCCATGCAAAATACCTATATCACATATAGATGTGGTGCAAAATAAATGCATCACGTTTGTATAACCAGACATTGATAACGTTGTAATTCATTACTGCTGTAGTAGAGAAAAATGTAAGCATGCATTTTAAAAAAATCAAACCCATGCACATTTTTAAGTAGAAAGTCAGAGATTTAGATTTCTCTTTCTGCAGTCAAGGACGATAACCCATTAGTCTTGTTAGTGTAAAAAGCATGACTAGTAATATCAGAGGTTCATTACCTCCAACAGTATAACTATTCAGCAATGTATCTTTTTGAAATCTGAAACGTTTAATTTTCAGATGTTATTTAGACAATATTCTTCCCTTACAATGATTGGTTGGAGCTTACTTGGATGTAAAATTATAAAAAATTAAAGCTTTTCCTCTTCTCGTCTATCTGTCTCCCCCCCCCTTCCTGTTTCTCTCACTCATCTTTCTCTGTCAAAGCCTTAAATAATTTCTTCCCAAGACATGAGTAACTGACCAAGGTACCACAATGGACTATGCAGCTAATCAACTTTGGCACTGGGAGAGAATATAATGGAGGAGGAGAAGGAACTATTTGAGGTTCGTTTTCTTCCTAGAAAGGAAGTGGTAGGAATCTTATATCAGACAGCTGATGGGGGAAGGGGTCAAGTCCCCCCCACCCCAATGTCTACATAATCTGATCAATCTATTTGAGGCAATACCTGTCCTTATGATATAATACATTGGCTAGTCTCTGAGGTGTTACAATTCCTTGTTATTTTTTCTTAAAGGACATGGGTTGTACAGTACACCAAAGACATTCAGCATAAATATTACTCTCTCCAGCTATTTGGAAGTGCAAAGTTAAAGCTCTAAATGACCTTTTTTTTCCCTGAATGGGTATACACAAAATTGCATTGCAAATAAGTTTGTATTAGAATTTGATGCGAGCCAACCCACTGCAGACTAAGGGTTATATACATTTCAATTATTGGATTTGCCTGAATTGAAAAGTGCTGCTGAATCCACATCAAAAGTCTGCTTTTATCAACTCTTTCACACAACCAAAGTATAATCAAAATGAAGTTTCAGGCCAAAAAAAATTGTCCTGGCTATCCTGTCTTCACCATAAACAGAGTTGTATTACAAAATGGGAGGTTATATAAGTCTTTAAAACAAATAAATATTAACGCCAGCATCACCTTTCTTTGACTCATTCTTTTGAGGTTGTCTAGTTCACACCCATATTTTGTTTTTTGTAAGTGGAAGAATACAA